CAGACCAGTCACATTTCAAGTGCTCAGTGGCCACCTATGGATAGTGGCTACCATATTGGACAGCACAGACTTAGAGAATCCGTTTTACAATTTAGCATCTGATTATCAGGTCTGGGCAGGCAGAAGGCAGGTCTTCCATATTAGACCCATAATTGGAGTAATGTCAGCCCGCCAATACCCTTGTAACACGCTGATGCCCTGTTTTCAGAGTCTCAGAGAAAAATGTGGGAGGCGACTGCTATGGGTTGAATGTTCATGTATTCCACCAAAATTCACATGTTGAAATTTAATCTCCATATGATGGTCTTTGGAAATAGGGCCTTTGGGAGGTAATGAGGTAATGAGCGTGGAGCCCTCATGGTGGGATTGGTGCCCTCATAAGAAGAGACACAACAGATCATGCTTCTCTCTCTATTCTCTTAGCCATGTGAGGACACAGTGAGAAGGCAGCTGTCTACAAACTGGAAGCAGGCCCTCACCAGACATGGGATTTGCTGATGTTCATCTGTTTTATCAGCCCAGATGGACTGCGACAGTGACCAATCATCCACATAATGTGCTAATGAGATGATTTGTTCCTCCAACAAGCGCTAGTCCAGTTCAGCACGAGGCCATGGGAGGACAGCAGAGGAGGCTTGTTGGCCTCAGTACCTAAAGACTAAGCATTCTCTATATGAGACAGAGAGAACTGAGACCATCATATCAAAGTTTCTAATTCTTTTAGGTAACTAGTTATGTATATAGCTAGAACTTACCACGGTGAGTCCACATATGGTATTTCATTGTTCATGAGGACTGGGTAGGATTTTTGAATCTGGATCCAAGAGACTGGTATAACTGGTTCTAGATATACAACTACTGGTGGATATTAATAAAGCCAAGAATTGTTCCTTGGGCTTAGAAATGTATAATATATGTCATTAAAAGATAAATATCTCAGTTAATGTACAAAATAAAAGAACCATTTCCAGGGAAGCATTTCAAATTCAAAATTCTACGGCGAACAATGAATTCTGTTACTGGAAGCCTCAGAGAAGACAGCCAGTGGCACAGGGGTTGATTTTTATTAAAGGGCTTCTTATCACCATCTAGCTCAAATAGAAACATCTGATTGGGGCTGCCACCTGTCTCTACAAGGGTATTCTCATTTCCCAGTAAACCTGTGTTTGTGCCCTCTGTCCCAGGCAAACATATCCCTGGCAATTTTCCCAACTAGGTGATTTCCTTCCAGTTTGGTTGAGCCTGGTGGTTACAGAACACCCTGTTTGCACAGTGTAACCCTACTCCCCTCAAAAGGAGTCTCCAGACACTTTCCCTCCAGAGAAATGAAATAAACCATGATCTTGCCTAATCTGTACCTTCAATCATTGTTTTCATTATTCTTCTTTGAACCAGTCAGTCCGTTCTTTTTTTTTTTTTTCAGGGTATTATGAGGGTAAAAACATTATGGTTACACTTTATGTCTTTGCCTCACCCAAGCGAGGGTTAGAGGTGTGCCCTTCCCCTCTACAATGCTCCCCATGTCCGTTAGTTGTGGGTTTACCTCCCCATCCCCCTAATCCCTGGAGAGTATTACTGCCACGTGAACACACTACGGTTCATCAGTTAGTACCAATTTGAGGGTGAGTACAAGTGGAGCCCATTCTTCTGATCTTGTGATACCTCACTTCTGATAATAGGCTCAAATTCAATCCAGGAAAATATAAGAGGTGCTAGATCACTGTCATTTCTTATAATTGAATAATATTCCATTGTATACATATACCAAATTTTAATAATCCACTCATGAATTGATGGGCATTTGGGTTGTTTCCACTTCCTTGCAATCAGTCACTCCATTCTTTCAGTGACTTTTTTTTAAAATGGCAACTTCGTATTTACATTACTCTATGCCTGGAGGGCATGTGAGACTTTTCCTGGTGCTGAGTTCAGCCAATTAGCATGACATGAGCTTGGCTAACTGGTTCTCCGGGACAGCATTGGTTTGGACGATGCAATGGCTGACAGGAAAGATTAGGAGCAACGTCTACCACAACAGCTTCCTCCCTTCACCAAAGCCTAAACTTAGAATAGACTTTCTCTTTCAATGCACAAGAAAAATAATGGTAAATAACAATGGCTTGAAGAATAAAGAAAAAAAATTGAATCTCAGAAATTCGAGATTTTTTTTTACTAAACCAAATTCTTTGCTGCACTGAAGAGGAGTGTTGGGCAATGACCCTGCAGGGTGGGGAGACCTACCTGACCATGACTTTGGTCAGGTTAGAGGAAAAACAGCCATGTCCAAACTTCTGCTCTGGAGAGCATAGATCTGGGATCATAGATCTTTATTTGGTAGAGCCCTTTAGTGAGTTTGGGGTTGGCGATGGAAGCAAAAATTACACAACATGGGAGAGTAACAAAAATTTGAGGGTGGAGGCAAACATTTGGGGGCGTGAGTGAGGGGATGGGCAAGAAGATGGTGATAAGCCGGGGTCTGAAAGAGAGTGCCACTACCTTGAAATCCAAATTGCTGACACAGTGTTGCCTAGGTTTCTGACTTAATCCATCACCTATCCTATGTTGTGCTATAATTCCCTTATGTTATTCCAGACTCTCAGTAAAATTCTGCTACATCCAACAGCTTTGTGTTCATAGAAGATGAGGCTGCTAGTATCCATCATGGGGCAAAAAGAATTAAGGAGAGAGTAGCCATCGATAGAAACTGAAAGTAATGATTTGGACATACAGATCAGGAAAATGTCATCTCTGGAGAAATCAACAGGTCTGGCTGGTAGGAGAGGAGGATAATTTCCCATAGTAAGTGGGTTGAGGGTTCCACTGTCTTATTTACATTTTAAAGATTGGTCCCTGAAAGCTGTAAGATTTGAGGTCATCTGGTTTATATTTTAGTGAATACTGGCATTAAAATAATTGAAATTGTTATCTGCCAGCCTCACGTCTCCCAATTTTGTATTTCTCAGACTAGTAACATTTTAATGAAAATTCTAGGGATTGCTTGGGTTGTCAACTTTTTATTGTATTATGCAAAGATATTTTTAAACTATTTGTTTCATAAAATAAAGGGCATTTCAACATACATATAGTCCAAATAGAAATGGAATTATAGAACAATTTTTAAAAATTTTGTTTTTGTGAAAAATAAAATTTGTTCTATGAAAACATTTGTTTTTATGTTTTTACCTGAAATTATCTCACATTTTTCAACTTATTTAAATTGAAAATGAAAATAATATATATTTCATTTTATTTAGCTTCAGCTTAAAGATTCTTTAACCCTTTCTTCACTTATTCATTCGTTTTTGCAAAAACATTTATAAACCTCTTATGTGCCACACCCTGTGCTAGCACTAGGCCACAGAGGTGAACAGGACTGTGCCCTTGCTCTCAATAGCTCAAGATTTACTAGGAAATTCAAGCAGGTGGTCTCAACTGCAAAACTCATACAATACTAAGGGGGGAAAGGCAAAGGCAATATTTGAAAAGCAGACAATGTCTCTCTAAGCAGAACTGCAAGAAATACCAAAGCTTGGTATCAGGATTTACTTGGCAGATGTAATTTGAGTTTCCTTACCAATGATTTAGGGGGAAGCTGACATTTACCCAGAGACCATGGGGTTTTTCAGATTTTTTTTCTGTTCCCAGCCAATCACAGGGCTAGGAACGTACCTCATGTGCAATATGTCAGTCACACTGGCTAGGAAGAGGTCAGGTTTATGGGGTTTGGGAAACAATAACTGCCCCCTCCTGCTTGTCTACCATGGAATGGCTTTCACACAGCCACTCTGCTCACTACTGGACACAGAGGATGCACAACCTGAAAGTTACTGGAGGATGGAGCGGGATGAAGTCTGTGCTGCCATGGTTACAGCACCATAGGATTTGGTGCCAGACTAGAGATGGGCACTCGGGACACTTCCTCACTTCACACAACTGGAAGATGTCTGGGAGTCCCGATGGTCACAGTGGTCCCTCCTGTTCAATACCAGCCTCCCTCACTATCTGAAGCAATGAGGTTTTTCAAGTTCTGATTGTGGGTGATAATCAGAGAGGTAGGTATATCATGGTATCCCGATCATCTGGTTCTGGAATCCCTGAGGGAGTGGGGCATGCTGGCTACATAAACACATCTATGTGGGAAGACGATCCAGAGGCAGGTACACTGGGTAGTTCTTGCTTCCCCCCGTCCCGTGCTCCAGAGGTACCATATCAGAGAAGAAAAGTGAACTACACGCATTTTCTTACATTATATAATCAGAGTTCACATGTCAAAGGGATAGTTCTGTAACAGTCATCTTTTCCCCCCTTGTCTCACCTCAACTCTTGCCAGAAATGTGTCTAGAACTTTCGCACAATTATTCACCCTTATTTAAAGTCAAAACCTGGATAGATCAGCTGATGGCTGCAGTTCCTATGTCTTTGACCAGGTCTTTTGGTGTCTCTGAAGCACAACGTGTGACAATGGTACAGAAACGCGGGAAATGACTGTTGAATGCACAGAGGTTCTGCAGCTTCCGTCCATTCTCGCACAATTTCCATTTTAGACTCAGCGGCTCTCCCTTCCCATGTGCTATGAAATACAAGGGGCTGGCGGAATCATCCAGATGAAATGAGGTTCCTTCTCTGCAGGGGATTAGCAACAGAGGTGCGGTCTCCCCTTCCCCACCTCATCCCGAATCTCCAGAAATAGAGACTTTCCTGGAGAAAGGCCCAGCAGGGAGCCAGGACCCGCAGACAGTGCGGGGGAACTAGTGCCCCTGCAATGCCCAGAAATGCCGGCGACCAGGCCAGGAGAGGCGCCAGGTGAAGCGGAGTTGTCCCTGAGGCTGGTTGCAGCAGGTCGGGCGGCAGGGCAGTGATTGCTTCGGAGGGGAAAGGGAAACAGGGTCTCCCAGTCCCTGATGTCTCCCAGGGTCGATCCCCAAGGGAACCCAAAGCAGTGACTGGGCTCTAAAATCGCGCAAGTTTTAGGAGTTGAGCGAAGGGAGCGGGTGTCTTACCTGGCCTGGCTGGCTGGTGTAGTTGAAGGAGTAGATGTTCTCGGTGCTGAGGCTCACCACCCCGCTGTAGACGTGATCAAAATCGGCGCCCCTGGCAGGGTCGCCGGGGTCGCGGCGCGGCGCCAGGGGCTGCACCGGGGGCTTCGCGGGTTGCCCGAGCACCGCCGCCCGCAGGAGCCAGGGCAGCGCGCAGAGCAGCGCGAGCCGCGGGCAGCCGCGCATGGTGGGCGCCGCGCCCGGGCCCCGAGGCAGAGCCGCCTTGCGGAGCCGGCGAGCGCGGAGAGGGTCCTCCCAAAGCCGGGCGGCCGGCCGGTCGTCGGCTTCAGCGCAGCGCGGGCGGTGCCTGCAGCCCCGCGGGGGAGAGCCGGCAGCGCGCTGACGAGAGCCGATCAAATATTGATGCTGCCTCCCGGGGTCTCCACGGCAGGTCACGGGGGGAGAGTAGGGGAGACGGGAGATGTGGGGGTGGGGAGCTGCTGCTTTTTCCTCCGGCTTCTATGTCCCCTCTTTTTCATCGCCGAGAATCCCCCACTTACCCAGCCAGAATTTCGACCAGTCTCTTCCCCTCAAGCTCGACAACGGCAATAGCAGAAAAGGCACTGGAGACATTAAAAAGAAATATCCATTAGTCGCGAAGCGTCAACCTGACCAGACATCGAGGACGAAATTCGGTCCGTTTCCAATAAACGTGCACCCCGGCTGCAGGCGAAGAAATAGGAAGCACAAGAGCCCGTCCCCCAGGAGGGTGCACGAGTTCGCTTTCCCAGGCTGCTACCTGCAGAGAACTCTTGCCGGTCTGAATGAATGATGACTATTCCCTAGTCTCCCTTCTCTAGTGGAACCCCTTCTCAGACACCTGTTTCATTTCCTTATTACCTGCTGTTCTCCAAGGAGAGCCTCACGTCATCACTTTCTCTCTCCCTCGCCATATGTGTATGTGTGTAAATATGGACAGTAAAAAAAAGAAAAAGATATGGTAAAGAGAACAATTTCCAGCACCCCCTCGAGTCTGGTCCCGGAAGTTGTCAAAGAGGACTCAGAATAACTGGATTTACGCAAAGGCATTTCTTTCCATCCCAGTCTCTTGCCTGCTTTATCTCTGTAATGACTTCTTCCAGATTCTGGGAAAATCCTGAGGATTCTAAATTGTTTTTAAAAACGCAGAAACCATAGAACATCATAAAAAGGAAGTACCCGTCTGGCAAAAAATTAGGAGATTAGATTTAAACGGTTAAAGAGGCGGGTAAGGAGTAGGGTGAGAAAAGGATCCAGCAGAAGTCCTCGGAGAACATTAAACAATCACAATTTAGATGTTGAAGAGGACTCACTGTTTTATTTTAGCTTCAAGTTATTTGTACGCTAGAAAAAATATAATTGTGACTTGAAGGAACATTAAAAAAGAAACCACAAAGAAGAAAAAGATCTTGTTCAAAGACTTAAGATTGCAGATTAAAATTCTAGTACTTACCATTTGAAAGACGGTGGATTTGTTTTTGTCTTTAGCTCATCAAATTCCTCCAATTCATTAAAATGAATGCAACACATTTAGTATAAAGTTTTCTAGTTGTGAAATCAGAAATGTTGCTGATGGAGGATTGAGTTAGATAACTCCTTATTAGGACGATTTTCACTTAAAAAATGTGTGGGAACATGGGCAAAAATACTAATTCAAAGAAGAGTCTGGGGATAAAACTTAAAACAGAACTCACTGTTTTTGAGAAACACAGCATAATAATTTCATTCAGAATTTTAATGACTTTAAACTGCTGTATTGAAAATGTCTCTGCCTCATTTCACAGTTTAACAAAATTTCATAAACTTGAAATTTATGAAGGTCTTTGAGGTTAGCTGATGTGGCCAGTTCCTGGACTCTCTGGAGATATAGGATCATGTAGTTCTACTTAAACACCATAAGAGATGAGGAACTGGCTTTCTTTTGGGGGCAAGTGTCTCATTATTAGAAAGATATTTCACATTATTAGTTGAAATGTGCCTCTTTTCCACTCACTTGTACTAGTTCTGTCCTCTGGAGTCCTAGAAATAAACCTAATCCTTCTTCCACATGATAGCCTTGCAGGTATTTGACCCTTGCTTCAATGTTTTATCCCAACTTTAAGCAATTAAGTTGGAAGCAATTAGAACAGGTCCTTTATCATAATATAAAACCCAAAATGTTTATTTCAAAGCTCTCATAGGTGATATCTATACCAGACAATTTGAGTTATATATTACAAATCACTCTTTACTATTATCTAATCCTGATTCTAACATAAATTCATTGAGTGACCTTAAGTAATTAACCTCTCAGGATCACAGCGTTGTTGTAAGGATAAAAAGGGGAAGAATGCATTTAAAAGTATATTAAAAAGTTTAAAGTGTTGTAGGAGCAACTATTGTTAGTGTATGACTGCTAGTTCAGTTTCTAAAAAATAAAATATGATCCCTGAGGCAGGTGTTTTTTAATATCTACAATGCCAAGATTCTACTGTGAGGGACCGAACATACAAATGGGCAATGGCCAGACCATAAATGGCGGTGGAACTCTGACCCACAACTTCTACAGTAATCAGTTCAGGAAGCCGAACTACAACCTTAGCAGCATCCAGTTCAGAAGTCAAACCACATCCTCTGCAACAAATGGTCCAGAACAGTTAAGACTTGTTCAATGAGTCAGTTTCCCCAATTTTTGCCCCTGCTTCCAACTCAGGGATAATCAAAGGAAGCCAAACATGTTTCCTAGACCATAAAATGCCCTGCATATAGTCAGCTTGCCTCCAGCTTTCCCACACAAAGATCCGATCAGAGCATAGTTGAAAATTTTCCCTTATTTCACTATAAAATTTTCTCACTCTCCTGTTTGCATTTGAGTCTTTGCCAAACACAAGTTATGGCTGCTAACTTCCTTGCTATAGCAAGTTCTGAATAAATAGCCTCTGTTTGTTTTCACTTGAGCGATCTTCATTTATTTCCATAGTTTTCCTGAAGGTTTCACAGAGATATTGTCTACACTGCCTGTCACCATGGACTCCAGTTCTCTACCAGGTGTTGTACACACTGAGGCCCCTTGTGCCTTGTGGCATGCAGCTTGTGCAGTTTACATTGACATGTTAAGCCAGCACTGGGTCTGAACTCTGCTCTCTCTGCTTTTGAGTTCTTTGGCCATGTAGTCTCATTTTGGTACCTGGGTTTTGTTATCAGTTCCACTTGTTTGGCATCTTTCGTGGAGTCAGGCTATTCCTTTTCATATCTGTTTGCTTTCTTTTATGCTTCTTTTTCTGTGTTGTGCTATCTAGAAGTGTTGCCACATAGTAGAACACAGGCACAGGCACTTAACCGGCATTCATTCAGACAAGCTTTGCTGTGGGTCACCAATACAATTAGATAAGATCATCCTCCCACCTAGATTTTTGTCCTGAGAGTTTGGTTTTGATCCACAGAGGTGTTCTACCTGCATGAGGGCGCATGTTGTCAGGTCTGCATTTCGAGCCAGCTAATCATCAAGTTGGAGGCTCAAGGTGCAAAGTACACAAGCTTCACTTTCAACTGACTGTTGCCAGCTCTTATGAGGTTGATTAATCTGATTTTTCTATTCCTCCAGGAAAAACTCCTTTTTCTTATATGTACACTCATTACAATCCTAGTTCTTGTGCCTCTCTCTCTAAATGGCATAACTTCACCAAAGATGATTTGGGTCTTCAGTAGCCATGTTGGGGAACATTGGACTTGAAAAAAATGGTTTATTTAAAAGACACCTTAGAAAAGAAAGGGAATATGATTTCTCACACCCAATGGGTGACATTTTTGATTGGCATGCAGAGGCCTCCAAATTATATTCTGATTCAAAAATTGCTTTACTAAAAAATTCTTTGGTTAAAGCTAATGAGCAATTTGACAAACTTAAACAGCAAAGTAGACTAATTTCCATAGTAAATCCTACTCCTTCTTGCTTTCCTGTTGCCTCTCTATATCCAGTTCTCCTTATTCTCCCTTATCCTTCTGATCTCTCTCCTTATGCACCTCCTTTCTTGTCTGCACCTTGTCCAGACCTCCTACCTTTTCCCAACAACTCTCCTAAAACCCAAAATGCCATTTGTTTCTAAGGATCCATCCCTCCCATGATCCAGGTATGCAGGTGACTGTAGAATTTAAACCTTGGACCCAAGATGAATTAAGAGCTTTCCCTATTATTAAGGCTTTCTCTAAACTCCCAAAGAAGAGCAAATATTCATAGGAGAATTTGGAATTTGTTTGGGTGCATGCGACCCAGGAATGCCTGACCTATATTAACTTGTACATATGTTGGTTGGAAACTCAGATGCTAAATCCTGGATGGCAAAAGCTGATTGAACTGACCCAGAGAGAGACCTATAGGATTCTTTTTTCCACAGTAAAAATAACGGTTATAAAAACCCTAACCAAAACACAAAAACCAGAATAGTAGGTTGAAGTTTCAAAAAGGATATATACCTGAAACATTTCCAATAAAGTTGATTGGGACCATAATTTAATCACATAAACAAAGGAACAAACAAAAAAGATGTAATTATGGGAGATTTTGGGATAGACTAGAAAATTCCTTTTGACAACACTAATCTTTCTATGTTAAACTCTGCCATCTTTGCTCAACTTCTTCTTTGGATCAAACATAGCATGTGAGTGATAGGTATTTCAAGTAACCCACAGATTTTCCCCTGTCTCTCAGTCCTTAACTATAACCCTTGAGCCCTTTTCTGAAAAACATTTCTTTCTGCTCTGTGATGTCACTCCTACAAATTTAATAGAGGGAGATATGTTTGTAAGTGGAATTGTAAATTTTTTTTTTTTTGAGACACTCTCGCTCTGTCACCCTGGCTAGACTGCAATGGAGTCATCACAGCTCACTGCAACTTCAAACTCCTGGGCTCAAGTGACATGCCTGCCTCAGTCTCCCAAATGGCTGGGATTGCAGGTGTGCACCACCATGCCAGGCTAATTTTTTGATTTTTTGTAGAGACAGGATCTTGCTCTTGCACAGGCTGGTGTCAAACTCCTGGCCTCAAGTAATCCTTCTGCCCTGGCCTCCCAAAGTGTTAGGATTATAGACGTGAGCCACCACACCCAGCTGTAATTGTATTATTAAATGCATACCAGAGAGACTATTTCCAGAGATTTAAGAGGATTCTATTCACAATCATGTTGTATCTGCTCTCTATATACCTTTGCCTTCTCCCCGCTTCTTGATA